CGTTGCGGAAACGGTGAAAACGATAGTGAGAACACAGGGGTGAATGATTTTGAAGCGAGAAACCGGGAAAAAGCTCCGGTAGTGTTGTTTCATTTCTTTTAATTGCGTCGTGACTTTTTCCGGCCCCGTAGGAAGCATTTCGGCGATTCCCGTCGGTCGGATGGTTCTTGCTTCGCTCTTTTTCGTGCTGCTTTTATGCTTCCGAAGATCGGGATCGTATATGGCCTCCGCGGCCAGGGTGACTTCTCTTCGAATTGTGACTAGTGTACTTGTTTTCAGTTCGGGTGCAAATAGACGGGTGGATCACTGTCGTCTTTTCTGGGCTGCTTCGGATAAACAATACAGGCGAGTTCGGTCGATGGTTGCATATTCGTTCTGGCGAACGATTCCGGCCGGTTGGAAGGATAGCGGGCGAACGGGTAGCTAGGCGCATACAGGGGTTCATAGGCTAGAACACCCTGCATATGCCGTGCACATTTTCTTTTCTGATACCACCAGGGGTTATTCTAATCCCCGAAATTCGGGAAAATCATGGTTAAAAAGTCTGCAGCATGGCCTGCGCAGGACGGAGACACCTCTTTTGAACGAGAGAGGCGACGGAGTTGAATCGTCGAAGAGATGGATTAATCGGAACTGTATATAGCAAGTTTACCCACGGGGCATAAAAGCCATATTCTCCGCGTAGATTGCCACCGATTTAATGCGCTGTCTGCAGACCAACTGTAAATCCATTTACTGTCTGAGACTTGCAGCATTGAATCCTTGAAACAAGCATATGACTACACAATGCGTTGCTCAGGGTAGTCGAAGGCCTGACAAACACACTAATGCAACAAAATTACGACTACTGGCGGGATCAACCAGTTTTCATGTCACGCAAACCAGACAGGACCGAGGAGACCCCGACGAATCAGAAATCGTTGCTTTTTTGATGCATCGTCTGTTCACTGGTGTCGCTGTCTGCCACTTCTGTGCGCAGGACTCCCACGGCACGAAACAGCACCTTCTGACCGTCTGTTCCCCAGCCACTGCCTACCACTTTCTTGCGTGTCAAGCTCCCTGCACGAAGGCGAGTTGTACTTAGCCAACAGGCCTCGGTAAGAAAATCGTCCAAAACTTTTTCGGCTTCGTTTTCGAAGTTCTTGATCCTTCTCTCTCTCTTATACACACATACTTACCCTCTATATGGACACGGTTGCTTGTAACGAAGTAGGAACGGCAATATAACAGACCTGCGGTTTCTTTTGCGCTATGTCGCTGTCGAGGGTGGGCAACTGGGGGAGGAGTCTTGGTTCAATGTTTGACAGAACTCTGCCTCTCATGCGTGCTTGAAGCTCGCTTCAGGTTTTCGGGGGTCGCAGTTTATCGTTCAGGTGGAACCTTGCCTTCATGCGTGCTATATGCGAGCCTTGTTGAACAAGTCTTCTTCGAAGAAAAGAAAAAAGTGAAACGGACGAACAAGACTCCTCAAGCAAAAGAACGAACCCATGAGGGAGTTAGACTTTCCTTTCCCCCTTTTATTTTCCTCGTCGTGGGTTTTGCTGTAAACAGCAACCCATTCTGGAGCTTCTCAGTGTTACTTTGTTACTTTACTATTAAGAAGCTGTTGTCGGGTAGCGTAATCAGTGGTAACAATTGAATAGCTTCCAACGGTGAGGCACAAGTAGCAGGAGCGGTGTGTTGAACTTGATATGCAGCAAAAAAAAGTTTGGGACAACACGACTGCACATAACAGTGGTAATTGGCGGACAGCCGAAGCAGCCGGAGACAGCAGGCGGCGGGCAGGTCTCGCTCTACTTTTACTTTCTCTCGTGAATGGGGACCCGCTGCCGGCAGTCCCGACTGCCCAATCACGGTCGCGAAAGGTTTGTGCCCGTGATGAGGAGGTTGGCCAGGCCCTACGCCGCCTTGTTGCGCGACACGGCTACAACGCCCCACTAGTTAGGCGTGCACTCTGCGCATCGCAGGGCCCAGATCTCGCCAATGGACCTGACGCAGCCGCTAGTCTGCACAGGGGCCGATGGGACAACGGCGTGATCGACGATGATGAGTCGCTCTCCGACGCGGGATTCCCATCCCGAGAACGATCCGGGCTCAACGAAAGGCAGCCTGTAGTAAACAGTCGCGCATATCGAACAGGGGGTCTCCAGTCGTCTCTCAACTCCTCCTTCTTCCGGACAACTTTCAGTTTTTCCTCTCCCTCTCTGTTTCCTTTTTTTTTTTTTACCGTTCTTGTTCGGGATTTTCCTTGCACAGCAAGGGCAGAGCTCCACGCCGCGCGCAAACAAAAATGCGGAGAATCAGCAAAAACCTGGAAAAGCGACCTCGCGAAGGAGCTAGCGACGAGAACGTGTTTCCTGTCGACCGCCGGCTTGCTGCTGTTGTTTTCTTCGGAAAGACTCGCAGGAGGAAGTAGTTGGGCTCCCGAACGCACGGAAAAGCCTGAAAATCCTGCGATGGTGCACAGAGCTTGTACCATGTCAGTTCTCCCGCGTAGCGCCACCTCGTGAGAAGGGCACGGAGGACACTTATAAACATACGGAGTCGGGAAAATACATTGGCGCGGCGTGAGCTTCTGCACCTGTTCAAAAAGAACTCCGTTTTTAGCTTGTTCGATAGAACAAAAAAGAATTGGAAGCAAGGGAGCCAACCACCACAGGCGGGCGGGCACAATGGTGGGGTGGGATGAGAAAGCGTTGTAGACCGACTTCAGGATTATTGTGCACCTTTTTCTGTACAAGCTCCTGCTTTTGGGGGATACTCGACGAGGCCGCCAGTGGCAAAATGTCGAAGACGCGGTAACCATGGCATACCCATGGCATACCAGCGACTCCCCACTATTGCACCGAGTGCCCGATGAACGCGCCGAACCGGCGATGCAGATCAACGCCACCTACGCAGTATGTGGTATCTACATACCACTGTATGTACCTCTATTCTATTATTCTACGGGGTCTGCTACCTGCTCCTCAGGAGGTGCTGAGGTGGGTGGATACCCGACCTCGGAGTGGATGTGTACTCATCCCGAGGACCTCAGCAGCAGGATGTCGTGGTAGTATACACACATACGTAGTATGGTGGTATACATACTACCTACATACGACCTACAGAGTACCCTGTAGTGCCTGTGGTACTACGTGTTTAGGTGGTATTTGCCTTCGAACCGAAAACATCAACGGACAAAACCAACGAACGCAACAAGCGTCCAAATGCCGGCGGAAATATGCTGTTCAAATCGCAGGGAGCTGATGAGAAAGACCCACTGTGTCGTGGTTCCCATGTAGCTTCCGTCAAGATAAGCACTGGGCGGCCCCTCGAGTATAATTAGAGTTGCAGCATTGCTTTTTTTTTTTTTTTGTAAAAGCACCTGCTTTGTAGAGAAGACTGCCAGTTGCGATAGATCGAAGGAGGTAAATGTGCTGTAGCCCACACGAAACACAGGTAAATCTGGGTTTAGTGGCAGGCGTAAGCATTCAACAAAAAAGACCCACTTTGTAGTTGTATTGTTTTCTCCCCCTCTAGCCTCCTTCGAAATGGGCACAAGGCAGTCCCTCGAGTATTTCTCCGACAAGTACTTTTTTCCCCCGTTTTACAAGAAGCAGGAACACAACGGAGTACTACGCACCGCCCCCCTTTTTTAATACCTGAGGCTCTTGATACTCCGGGGGGCTTTTACAGCTACCGGGCGGCCTTCGGCACATGGGGTATTTCATATCTGCAACGAAGTCTCTGACTACGCAAAATTCTGTCTGGACACGCGCTGGTATGATTGGCTTTTCTTTTTCTATCATATGCTGAGCAGGCCCTGAGGACGAAAGAGGCCTGCTTCAGCTTTTCCCGAAGAGATTTACCTCCACGGGACGTGGACCAAAACAGAATTCGGTTTGGTTCACCGCGGTTTCCGCATCCCTGGGGGAGGCTACTTCGTCTGCACTCCCAGGCAGAGTTTTCCGCACACCAGGCACGGGTAGTGGCACAAACGAAGGGGGTAAACCCTTTCAAATCGGCCTTCATAAGTTGTTTTTTTAGACTCAAAGTTTGCCGGGGCTGCATCCGCGTGCTGTAGCCGTGTTGTGCAGAAAGCAACTCGGGGACCTGGCCATCCACCTCGTCACTACAGGGCACAAACCTTTCGACTACACGGCCCGGGTGGGGAGTTAACTGTGCGGCCGAAGTGTCGACCCCCAAGCTCAGTGGGCCACACCCGCAAATCGAGTGCGGTATCCGGCGTGGCGCCCGCATATCCAGTGGGAATACAGTGGAATCCAGTGTGACATCCGCAGAATGGACCGCGCATTTTAACTCGCACCCGTCGGGAATTCTGCTTACTGGTCTGTCTGCGCCTTTTGTGTTCGCTGACGTAAAGTCTGCGGGATACTTCTTGGTGACATGACTGCAAGAAAGAACGAAGAGGAATCAAACCATCCAGGGTAAATGATCTCGCCTAGTTGGCCCCATTGACATGGTCAACAGCCACACTCCATCTCATTCGCTTGTGAGCGTTGTCTGGTTTCTGGCGTGACGAATTCGATTACCCAAGCCGAGAGCTGAGTGCAATGACCGAACACTCAAGCTGAGACCAAGTGCGACGAGGCCAGAAGCTAGCTGCCAATACCAGAGTGAAAGTTCACTTGAATATCCGGGTTTGTCCGAGAGTCAGCCCGGAAACTGTAGAAACTCGAAAATTCACGCCTCGGGGTGACCCTCAGCGACCGGACATACGTGTTTGGCCGGTGACTTGTTTCCTTCAGCGTGCTTCTGCAAACACGTTAAGAATAAGTTAACGAACGTTTCGCGTCGAATCGGGTTCTTGTTGGGGGGGATATCACTGAGGCACCACACGAGATGCCGCACGTGGCTTTTCAGCCCTGAGCTTCCCTAGCAGGTTCGGCGGAGTCCGGGTGAGGAAGGCGGCTAGGGGATGGACGGTGCCGAAAAAGGCCTGCGAGTGCCCTGGACGGTGGGTTTTCACCTGCTTTTGCTTTCTCCTGATTCTGGGCATACCTTCTCGGCCTTTTGGCTAAGATCGAGTGTAGTATCTGTTCTTATCAGCTTAATATCTGATACAGCACACTTGTGTGCTGAGATATTATGTGAATTTTTCACGGGGGTGGCGGGTAGCTCTGAGGCAACTCTGAGTCTGCCACACGTTGGCTGCAGAAGCTACTGGAAAGACCGCGCCCCCCCCCCCCCCCCCCAAGAACTCATCTTGCCCCCGGTACAGAGCAGGGGGCAAGAGCGTAGCTTGACCTCCTGTTGCAGACGGAGGGGCAACGAGGTTTCTGGTTTTGGTTTCATTGTTGCTTCTTCTTCCCTTCGCTTGTTTGGGAAGCGTGAAGAAAAGACTTTCGGGGGGAGAAGATGTTTCTTGGGTTCGAAGAGCGCGTGGTGCTTGCACCACTGAGGCCAGGTTATTTAACCGCGGATTTAGTGAAGGATTGTTCACGAAACGGTCGTGAGCGAAACCCGACGAGGTAACGACCATTTCACTGTCTTCTGTGTTTTGTGATCTGAAGGTCTGCCACGTTTTGGTCGGCCCTGAGATTCCTGCTTCGGAATGAATTGCACGCGGATCACCTGTTGTATGATCAGTCGAACTCGAATCAGCGTCTACTTCACGCAAAATGGGACACTTTATCTCGCCGTGGAGGGGGCTTTCTCCCCTTCCTTGGCTGCCTCTGCTGTGCAGTCGCGTCACAGTTGTGTACATTTCTTTCGTCGAACGCAGTGCCTGTTCGTTTCTTTTTTTCTTTGTTACGCTTAGCTGGATTCAGGCCGCTAGCTGGAAACGCCATGGCTTGCGGTGAAGAGCTTCGTTTCTTTCCTCCGACCTTTGCATGCTCGGCAGAAAAGATAAGCGCGCCGCAGTTTCCGTGGCCCGAAAAAGCGTGAATGCTGCCGACAGCGCAGTGGACGTTCCTCCAGGCTTGTCCCGCTAAACAGAGAAGCGTCGGTGGTCATCGACGACTTAGTACACCCCGGACTTCCACTCCGGATTGCGGGAGTGGTTTTGCGGTCGTTTGCGGTCAGCCTGGCACTCCCTCAATGCGGGAGTGGGACCCCCTTAATGAGGGAGTGGGACCTCAATGTGGGAGTGGGACCCCCTCAAAGCGGGAGTGGGGCCCCCGGAGTGGGACCTCAATGTGAGAGCGGGACCCCCTCAAAGCCGGAGTGGGACCCTCTCAATGCGGGGGTGGGACACCCTCAATGAGGTGAGAGTGGGGCCTCAAAGCGGGAGTGGCCACTCCCGCACCCGCATTGACTTTGCTGAAGTCCGGGGTGTAGGGTACTGCCAGGCTTGTCTTGCGGAACGGAGCAGTTGCCGTAACACGAAAGTGACCGTCGCCGACAGCGCAGGGGAGAGGATCCACCAGGCTTGTCTCGCGAAGAGAAAGAAGTTTCGTGACGTCGTCGCCGTGGCCCGAAGCTGCGTGAACAGAACTTCCAGGCTCGCGTCTGCCGTGGCAACCAAAGTGCACGCCATCGTCACGCGCCATGCCTGTCAAATGCTGAATGTAGTCCAGCCTCAGAAGCTGGAGTTAAAGGCGGTGTTAAAAAATGCGGGTGGCACAGCCGCTTTTCGGGTGTGGCTTCACGCGTTTTGGGTTGGTAGCACAACCACTTTTCGGGTGTGACTCGGGCACACCCTCTTTAACTCCAGCTCTTGAGGCTGGACCTCACCGTGTAAGTGGCAACCGCCTATGAAGCGGTCAACCCAACGGCGGGGATGGTCGCACATGTCCCCATCGCTGCAACCCTGAAGCCGCAACCCTGCAACCCAAAACTCCCGCTTAAAGGTTGTGGACCTGGGATGGATCGGGTTGAGGGAGAGAGAGAGAGAGAGTGTGTGTGTGTGTGTGTGTGTGTGTGTGTGTGTGTGTGTGTGTGTGTGTGTGTGTGTGTGTGTGTGTGTGTGTGTGTGTGTGTGTGTGTGTGTGTGTGTGTGTGTGTGTGTGTGTGTGTGTGTGTGTGTGTGTGTGTGTGTGTGTGTGTGTGTGTGTGTGTGTGTGTGTGTGTGTGTGTGTGTGTGTGTGTGTGTGTGTGTGTGTGTGTGTGTGTGTGTGTGTGTGTGTGTGTGTGTGTGTGTGTGTGTGTGTGTGTGTGTGTCTAAGTGTCACAACAGAGCGCGCCTATTTATCTGTGAAGGTCGCCATTTAGCATCGGAAAGCAGGCGCGAGATCTGGCAAACTGTTGTACGCAAGCTTCGTTTAACCGTGAATCTAATAATCAGCAAATCGCTTTCATTTTAGAGTGCAAGTTCACTTAGAGATCCGGGGTTTTACAGTCTCTCGGTGACTTTAGAGAGAGAGAGAAAGAGTGAGTGAGTCAAGCTAGAGAGCAGGGGCCATCTCCCCGGGGAGTCTCTGTTTCCCTCACAACGCTCGTACCGATACGGCGGACGTAAGCCGCTTCGTCGGAGGCGCGTGTGGGAGGCGGTGCCGCCAGGTTTGATGTCGAAAGTGGCCGTGGTAATGGCCCCTGCAAACACTGACAAGGTTGCCTCATCGCATTGCTGCCGCGGCTGCGTGCTGGGGATTGGTGTCAACATACATGTATTCGTAGCGTTGATTGTGGTACCGTCGATCCCGGGGGACGATCAGTTCAATTTTTTTCTTTCCTCCTTTCTCCCCCTTTCCCCGGGCGGTGGGCTGCTTTCATGGCGGCTGTTTTCCGACCGACAACATGTCAGACCAGCCCGACTCGAGGCAGGTTCCTCAGTTTCCTACACGGGCGGCGCTTCCGCCAGCGTGGACAGTCTCGATTCTGAACTCTCGATCAACGACAGGTCGCGAAAGGACGCCCGGCGCCGCAGTTTTTTTGTGTTTCCGGCGATTTTCGCCGATTGCGTGCAGACTAGCTTACCCGAATAAGTACCTATCCGAGATATTCGTAAGCGTTGCCGTCGATCCCGAAGGACAATCAGCTTCGTGTCTTGCGACCTTCGAATATATATTTTTTTACTTTGGACAGACTTTCTTAAACTGTTAGACCCCTCCCACACTCATTACTCACTACCCACTTTGTTCTTACACGGTAGTGGTGAAGTATTCAAGGACAAACCATCTAATACGAAGTGCCGGTATGCAGATGCATGGCTATTGTTTGAGATGCCAACACACAGGTGAAATACTTCTGGAGCCTTGGGGCGAAATTCTCTTGTGCGACTAGTTTCGGCTTCGGGCGGGGTGGGGTGGGGGGGGGTCGAAGTTTTTGGCGTCATTTTTCTGCTCTCGCAAAATAGGAAAATACTTGCTACTTTTTTACGAGGGGGCTGGGAGTGTGCGCGTCCGGTATCCGGATGCCGCTTTGTTCTTCGGGCTAGGGCTTACGCGCTCAGCGCTCTGCCAACGGCACGTCAAGGAAGAAGTGCCGTCGTGCGGACAAGTGTCAATTCATTGAATGCCATGTTCGTCTCGTACTCGCGATTGTAGCGAACGAGGATGCACGGGGCGGTGCAGGGGGGGGAGGGGTCACCCGGAAGGGGGTGGGGTGAAAAGCGAAGGTATTGGACGGGTACGTTTTGTGTTGCCGTCGATCCCGAAGGAAGGTTTTTGTGTTACCGTTTTTTTTTTTCTTTTTCGGCATGCGCATTCCTGCTGTCTGGTGTCACCTACTGCGTGTCCTCCTCCTCGTGGTGTGGAGGTGCTGTGTATGCATACACATACGCTGCTGCTGCTACGAGCACCGCGTACCGGATCCCCATCTTCTGGATGCAGGGGACAACGACAACGCGTTTTCAGCGCCCCCGAGCCCGAGTCCTGGGCGTGATATCAGGTGGCAAATTGATCATGTCCAAGAGGCAGGTTCCTGCAGGTTCCTCGCACTTGTGGCAAAAAAACTGCAACCTGAAAAGCCTGAAAATGGACTGTGCTCATCATATGTAGCCACCTGGATGGGGGTGGGACAAGCCGGGAAGCGAATCATTTACACACTCGTTTTTTTTTTTTTTTTTTTTCAATGTTTGGCAGGGCCTTATATATAAAAATTCCTCCCACGTAACTGTCCAAAAGTTGCTCGGAGTTACTAAAAATCCCAGTTGCGGCACAACTGCACGTTTATGTATCCGACAGGCTGCACCTCTTTGTGGTTGTCACTACTGTCCATCACAGAGACTGTCCTTCGGAAGCAAAAGAGCCATGCGAAGAAGGCGAGTGTTGGGGTACTTTAGCAGTGTGCCGGGATCATTCAAGAACACTTGGCAGTAATCTGCAACAGCAGGGCGGACAGCGGCGGTCTTCGCTTTCTTGACAACACGTCATGAAACAATACACAAGCCAGAAATACCAGCGCCGCAGGCGCGGAAATTTTTTTCAAGCTATTGGGCCAGTCGCAGGTTCCAAAATTGAGGCTGTACGTTGCTTCAACGATGATCCAAAGGTGCAGTAACCGGTGCTGTGTACTGCTAGTGTGACTGCTGTACTGTAGCATTACTACTGGGCCCCTCAGCCAGGGCATTCTGTGCTTTTTTTTTTTTTTTGTTGCTCGGACTTGGTCCGAGCACCAGACCCATATATAAGCCACTGATGTTTGGCCTTCATACACGCTTGATGCTGAGCATCAAGCCTTCTTCGAAGAAAGAGAAAGCAACCACGGGGGGGTGCAAGGGGGGGAGGGGAGTCACTTCTTGTAACTCGCTCTTTTTTTGCGGGTCCTCGGATGATATCCACACGACTGATGAAGGAACCCGTGCTTGCTTCGGTTAGTCGGTGTGTTGTTTTCTCACCCAGGACTTTTGACCTGTTGTGTATGTGTGTCTTAGGGATAGACCCGCATGACCTCACGTCCGTTCAACACGCGGTTCGGTAGTCGCGGCATTTGGGAAGTCTTCGGTTCTTTGTCTGGCAGCCAGGGCTTACGCTCCACGTGTGGAACGTGTGAATTTCCACACGTTAATCTTTTCCGGTTTTTTTTTCTCCACGTGTTACTCCACATGTGGATCCACATGCAAATCCACATGTGGGTTTTTTTTTTCTCCACATGTGCTTCCACATGTGGACCCAGGTAGGTCCAGATGCAGTCCAGCGTTGGACAGGGGCCCAGGAAGGGCCCACCGGCAACCCAGTCGGTCGGACAGGAGCCCGCTCGACCGAAAGGAGAAGACAGGTAACTCCAGTGGTGGCGTGTCAGCTAAGCCGACCATCGAATCGAAGGGGGTTCATTGTGATTTCGCATCGCCCCTGCTGGA